TTTTTTTTTTTTCTACGTGACGTGATTTCATTCGCTCAACACGTAACTCTACGTGCCGAGTCGTGATTTAATATTTTTTTCATCTTTTCTTGCTTAAGAATATAATGCTAATATATTAAAAATGTAAAATATATAAAAATTGTTTGTTATGTAGGTAAATTACCCAATTTTAAATATCTTCCTCTCCACCATTCCATCACTGCCAATTTCTTGTCAAACGTTATCTCGATTATGTGTTATATTTTGTAAATAATAGTTTATATGCTAAAACACCTTTAAGCACTATAACCTTTTTACGTAAATTTACATAAAGCACCCCACCTATGGATGAAAATGTAAATTCACTATTGAAAAATGGTGAAAAAAGAAAAGTTGGGTACTTGATTTGTAAAAAAAGAGAGCTTGGATGCGAGATGGGTAAAATCATAAGAATTGAGTGTTGTATACTTAAATTCCCCTATTTTTTAATATCAAATTGAAAATAGCACTAATTTTTTTTTTTTCAAAAAATAAAAATAGCATTTTTTTCATTCATAAAACAATAAATATATGTAAATATAAAATATAAGTACAAGTAAAAAAAATAAGAATTCTCCTATAATAGTTTATATGCTAAAGAATAAAAATGCCAAGTTCTTTTAAGATGTATTTACATATCTAATAAGATGCCAAAAGAGGCAAGAATATCTAATAAGATGCCAAGAGAGAGGAAGATTTACATACTTACCACTAAATTCTCATGTACTTACATATCCAAACAACTAAACTTTAATTTTTTTTACATTTTGCATGCATACCACTCAATTCTTATGTATTCACATATCTAGCACCTACACTCTATTTTTACATATGTGCCCACTTCATCGATGCATGAAAAGATGTAATTAACTTTTATAAAGTCCAAATAATGGTATTTTTTTTTTATGTGATGTACAAGGATTGGGTGGTATAAATGTAAAAAAAATAAAATTTAGGTGTTAGATGTGTAAATACATAGGAATTGAGTGGTGTGTATGTAACTGCCCCAATTTCGAGCTAAAATTCAAATTAATTTTCGAGCGATTAACGACCTTCAAGCTGAATTTGTTGAATTCACAGCTGCAACATTAGAACTGTTAACAATCCGATTTCGAGCCGAGCCAGATCCTGCTCGAAATTAGATCAAAAGAAACTTGATCCAAAATTTTGGCTCGTAGCTCGAATTTTTTTTTTTTTTTTGATTTGATCACAATCCGAGCCAAAATTCAAATTAATTTTCAAGTGATTAAATTCACAACCCTATATCTTACCCACATATGAAGAGTTGTACTTCACTTTTCCAGAAGTTAAAATGGTATAATCGTAAGAAATGAAATTTGGACACCATATATGTAAATACATAGGAATTGGGTGGTATGTATGTAAAAGCCCCAAAATACAAATAGAACCAATTGAAAGATAAACAACATGGATCACATTAACTCATCAATTTCATCGATGAAATAGCTTATCAGAATATTATTGTTCCCCAAGAAAACTGAAAAAACAACACTGCAAAAGAACAAGAAGCTCTGAAAGAAGGGGAAAAAACTTACAGGATAAGACAGCAAAATTATGAAAATGACAGAAATCTCCGGAGCAAAGGTTCAGCATGCAATTTCACCCATTCGTCGTAGACTTGTGATGACAATCATCAATTGTAGAGTTCTAGATTATAGACTCCCAATGTCAATGTTATATGAAATATCATTCCTGCGCAATAAAACCCTCATACTTTCAGCAAATTAGAGGTGACAAAGATCTGATTTTGAAATCTTACGGGAATGCAAAATACAAACTTGATCTGGTCTGGTGGCAAATCGAGCCTCCGGGCGACCTCATCGGTGTGCAATCCCTCTTCGCGCATACTGCAGTCCAAATTACCTCGCATCAATAGGGATAATATCATGGGGGCATTTACATGCAAACACCAAATTCCTATGTACTCACATATCTAACACCAAAACTTTAGTTTTTACATTTATACCTCCCAAATATTTTATATATCACATAAAAAATGCCACGGTTTTGACTTTTAAAAAGTGAAGAAACATTTTCATACAATGATAAGGTCGTACGCAAGTAAAAAATTAAAGTTTAGGTATTAGATATATGAGACATAAATATCATAATATAAAAAAAAAACCTTCATCTCCAAATAAATAGAACATAATATTGCTTTAAACATAAATGAAGGTTAACAAAAAGCAACATATTTTCATGACAATTTTTTAATAAAAGTTTGAGCTCAATTACAAATTCTTTATAGCTAATTAATGTAGTAATATAGCTTATAATAAGATGAAACAACTGTTATCCAAATCTTATAGAAGTTCTCTATCTAATTTCATTTAAAATAGTGAATGTAAAACATATCATTTCTCTCACACAAACAAAATGTAATTTACAGAATTTTGCATGTTCCATGAACTTACAGGCTAGCTGGCTCCATGAAAACAGCAAGGACCATCTTTTGGATTTCATTTTCAGAAAATTTCATGCCTGGAATCTGAAATAAGCCATCAAAACGACATTGATGTAAGGAAACACAAGCTAATGTTTTTTTTTATTATTATTATGTTAGTTTAATATGTTTTTCACATAATTTTATTTTATATTTTAAAAAACAAATTAAAATATTTTTGAAAATAGTTGAAACAACTTTTAGCTGTTTTGAATATTAAGAATAATCATACCTTAATCAAATAGTCAAACATAATTGTTTCGAATAAAAACATAAACAAAGCAAAACAAAATAAAAACTAAAAATAAAAAATAAATTACAAAATTGATCCCAAATGGCCCCTAAGCTTACTCGATTGGTAAGAGGAGTCTGGAATCCTTTCATATCGTTCTGATGCGGGGTTACGGTTCCAATGGCTGTAATTGCCTACAGCAGAGAGCAAGCACGTAAATTCTTTGTGTGTTTGAAGGGAAAGGGCCTAAGGTGTACAGAGAAATCCAATAGAGCTGATGGCAGAGAAAGAAAGTGACAATTTTTGGGACCTTTGCATACATACCACCCAATTCCAATGAATTTGCATATCTAACACCTAAGCTTTACTTTTTTTTTACATCTATACCATCCAAATCTTTCATATCACATAAAAAATACCACTATTTTAACTTTTAACACCTAAACTACATCTTTTCATACATAGGTAAGGCGGCATATATGCAAAAATAAAAGTATAGGTGTTGGATATGTAAATACATAGGAAATGAGCGGTCTGAATGTAAATCTTCCTTTTGTTTTATGTTCTGATACCTTTGGTCTGGTGTTGTCCATATGTACATGGATGCACTCTAAATAGTGAAGAGTTACCTCATTGAAGTCAACCACAGGCCTGCAAAAAAAAAATAAAATAAAAATTACAGAATGGAATTTTTTTGCCATAATGAAGAAATAATCAGTATATGCATTTACTCATAATGAAAATTACTTAAAATACCAGAAAAACATAAAATATATTCCAATATGTGGTCATTGCTAACTAGAAATTAATATTAACTACAAAATCCATAAGATTCTCCAAAGTCTTCAGTGTAGTGAATGATGTTGTTTAACTAAAACACTCCCTTGTTTCCAAATAATACAATTCAGAAAGTTATAATTACTTGAGGTTGAACCAGAAGTAGAATAAAGGCTCGGTCGAGAGCATGAATTGATAGCTTTCATTTCATGAAGAACAATAAATCATAGCTTTTCTTTCACTTTATTGCTGTATGACTCCAACAATCCAAAATTTACAACAATATCATAATTAAAATTTACAGTTTTTATTAATCAAATACAAGTGCCATAAGTTAAATAATTCTAAATTAGAAATTGGAAAAGAGAATAAAGCAAAACGGAATAACAACTTCACTTTTCTCTAGAAAAATAAATTTAAAGCAAAAATTAGAATCCTATAAGAAATCAGGGTTCTAACAGAACAATTGTTATAATTCCTAAGGAGGTGTTGTGCTGCATCTTGGATTTAAGTTAAATAGGATTTACTAAATTTGATAGATATAGATTTATTAAATCCAATGATATTAATCCAAATTTGTGCTGGGTATTAATTCAATTAAATCCAATTAAATCCGAAACACATGTCTGGCATTTGCTTTCAGGATTTGAAAATCCGCAGCAAGCCACTCTTAAATTTAGCTCGAGATTGAATTTATTAAATCTGGGATTACCATCACGCCAGAGAAATTTCTGGATTTAGCCAATGGTAATATTTAGAAGCGTTGAATTTGTGTTTGGTGAATTTACATTAAATTCTTACATTAATCCGCCTAAAAAATAGCATACCAAACACCACCCAAAGCTTGCAAAGAACATTCATATTGCATGCTGTTTTGCAATTTTATGAATTGATGCTCAAAAACACCAAAAGACACAAAAAAATAAGCAAAACTACATGTAATCACCAGGCAGAACCATTATAATTTGGGAAATTTACATATGTACCACATAATTCTTATGGATCTATACATCTAACCCCTAAAGTTCGATATTTACATTTACAACAAGTTTTGTGCTATAAACATAAGCATAAAAAAGTGCATTTAACTATTAAAAAGTTAATAGAAGTGGTATTTTTTTATGTGACTCTAAAGATTTTAGTGTTATGAATTTAAATATTAAAATTGTATAACAACAACAACAATAAGCCTTTATCCCACTAAGTGGGGTCAGCTACATGAATCCTTATTCTCCATTGCATCCTATTGAGTGTCCTATTTTCATTTAATTCTAACAGATTCAGATCATTTTTTATACAATATGCCCACATTTTTTTAGGTCTACCCCTGCCTTTCTTAACATAAGTCGAATTTAAACCATCTCTCTTAACCGAATCATCAGATGGTCGACATTTAATGTGACCTAACCATCTAAGACGAATCACTCTAATCTTGTTCGCCACTGGAGCTACACCAACCCTATCATGGATATATTTATTTCCCATTTTGTCCTAAGTGTCAAGCGACTCATCCACACCTAAACATTCTCATCTCAGCAACAATTTGTTTTATGCTTCTCTTTTAAAGGCCAACATTCCGTGTCATAGAACATTGCAGGTGTTGTATACATAAATACATAAGAATTGTGCGGTATGTATGCAAATGCCAATTATAATTTTCAACAAAATGTTGAGCATATGCCCAACATGAAAAATAGTTTATGTTGAAAAAACAGAAATACCGAAGATTGCGGAATTCAAATAGATAGGACCAGAAAAACTTAGATTTTGAATATAAAGAAGTGGTAATGCTGTAATATAAAGTTAATGGAAAGAAAGTAACTAAGAACTGTCAGTTGCAAGGTAGAATAAGCGAATGTGCTAGTAGCGTGTGAAGCTAATATGATAAGTGGAGATTTTGGGACCAAATGGACTAGTGGTATGGATAAAGTTTAGGAAAATTTACTTATGTAGCACACAATTCTTAAGTATTTACATATCTCACACTTAAAATTTCATATTTACATGCACAGCACTTTATGTTTTAAGCCTATGCATGAAAAGATGTATTTTAATTGAAGAAAGTGGTAATGTTGTCATAGTGCTATTTTTTATGTGATATTAAAGATTTGAGTGCTATATGTGTAAATATGAAAGTTTAGATGTTAGAAATGCAAATACATTAGAATTACGTGATATGTATGTAAATGCCTCTAAAATTTGTGAGAATCTTTTGGCGGTAGAGGTTTTGAATGTGTGAGAAATTTATGGATTATATATGTATTAGAAATTAATGTGTTTAAGAGTATGAAAGGCCATTTAGGAATAGAAATTTAATAACTCTGCTTTTAAGCAAGAGAATCTTAAGCTGAAAACATGAAAGGAGAATCAAACAAACCATGAATGAGGTGCAGCATGAAAGTTAGGAAGAGGGGGCATCTGAAAAAAGAAAGTTAGAACAACAACAAAAAAAAGATTTACAGACATACCACTCAATTCCTATGTATTTACATATCTAACACCCAAATTTCATTTTTTTACAAATATGTCACCTTACCTATAAATGAAATGATGTATTTCACTTTTTAAAAGTTAAAATAGTAGTATTTTTTATCTGATATGAAAAATTTGGGTGGTAGAAATCTAAAAAATAAAATTTTAGGAGTTAGATATGTAAATACATATGAATTGGCTGGCAGCCACAGAAAGATGAAAAAAGGTTGTTATCACGATTTTAGCATAATGAGATTAAAGCTCGTCCCTTACAAATGATAATAGCTGTATGAGTAGTAAGAAAATCAGAAAAGAGGAGAGGTCGGTGGGTTAATAAAAAAAAAAATAATTTTAGGGCTAAAAAAGCATTTGTTTTTTAACTTTTTGCTAAATTAGGTAAAGCTTCTGTTCTTTCATTTTATAAACTGGTATAATTTTTAAAAATTTTTTGTTCTTTCTAATGGTTTTGGGCATACAAATGAATGGTTGTTAGATCATATCTGGAGCCCCATAAAACTTGTTTTTTAATCATTTTTTAATTAAAAATACCTCAAATTTACAGTTCTTAAATAGCCAATTAGCACATTTGAAAATCCACACCTTTAAACAGCATGAAAATACATGCTTGCTGTGTTATGTCGCAAAGGTAATGCAACTTTCATATATTTTTATTGATATCAATTATAACAAAACCAAGGAGTGTAACTGCAAGAATTAACAATTTCATTGAGCAAAAAAAAAAAAACTCCTTTCGCATTTTAAAAAAATATCTTAATAATTGAAAATTTAACCCAAAAAATTCAAGTATAAGCATTTCTGAACGAACAACACAAAAACCAGTAAGAATAATCCTTATA